GTGATATAAAAACATCTTTTTTTTCATTCTTTCTCCTCACTTTCTCCCGCACCATTTCTCTCTTCTCACCTTTCTCTCTTAATTCCATCCCATGCTTATTTTAATATATTTTGGTTTGATTGATTTTGAAAGAAAATAATTTTTATAACTTATTAATTTTTTTTTATCATTAACTGTTTTAAATATAAAATAAATTAATTTAAATACACACATAATGAATATTAATGTACAAATACTAAAAGATACAGATGACTCAGTAGGCAGTAGCTATGTATCAAAAAAACAAGAAAAAAAAATAGTTAGGTTCTTTAAGCATGCTAATAAGGATTTAATCTCTGGCCGTGTGATCTCTTTCACTTGAGAGAATTAGTCATTGATTTTCAGCCAGAAGATACCCTTGGAATAATTTCTAAAAAAAATGGGACGACTCTGTAACTAAAATGACGTCCAACCCTAACAGAACTCAACTTTTGGCGTCATCGCTCAGCAGTCCCTCTAAGTTAGAAAGAAGCGTGGGATTTTAGAAAAGTAATAATTTTTTTTTTTAATTCCATCCCATATTTGGGTATTTGTTATGGGAAAGCACATTAAAATGATCATATAAAGAGTGATCGGCCCTGAGCTTATACAAGATCTTCCTCATTAACTATGGTCATGTTAAATAATATATAAAGGATCCATTTTCTACACAATTAGCTTGTATCGAAATATGAATGTTGACCAAATTTATCGTAGATTGATGATGATTGATTTCAATATAATTATCTCTTATTTAAAAGTCAAATATGTGATATTATCTACTTTGGCGTAAAAAGTAAAAATCTCATTATATTAAGGAATTAATATTTCTCATATTATATAACATAATTTTATTTCCTACACATATTTTTTTCTCTCTTTCCTCACATAGACCTCACATTTTTATGTGTGTATAGAAAATAATTTTATCTTGTACAACATAAAAAACATTAGTCCCTTATATGACAGATGGCTTGAAATATAAATGTTGTGCATGCAAAACTTTGTGTTCTATCCCATACAAGTATGGGTGACAATACGGGTCAACCCGACATGACACGACACAACACGTTTTTGACTCGTACACTATTTGACACGTGCGGGTCACGGGTCGACACGACACGGCCCGCAAAATTTAAAATTTAAAAAAAAGTGGGATTTTTTGAAAAATAAATAAATTAAAAATAATAAAAAATAAAAAATAAAATAAAAAAGATTAGCTTCTGTTTCTTGAGATTTTTAGTTCCTTGTATTCTTTTCTATACTAAACAATGACTATATATCAATATATAAATGAATAAAAATAATAATATAATAAAATATTTAATTGAAAATTAAAAAAATGACACTGTGCGGGTTGATACGTGAACCCGCGGGTTGACACGTGACCCGACACGAAAAAAACGGGTCACATTTACACAACTCTGACAGACCCGCCCTAACCCGCGGGTTGACACGACACGTGATTTGGCGGGTCGGGTCACGGGTCAACCCGCGGGTCAATACCTGTATTGCCACCCCTACATACAAGCATATAATTAAAGGGAAATGTATCTATTAGGTAACATGATGAAAACTTGTTTTTCTACACAAACAAACTGACGTGGGGTCTACAATTTTTTATTTTCTCTTTCCTCAACTCATTTTCTCTCTCTTCTTTTATGTTTGTGTATGACCAAAATGGTGTTTTTCATGTAACATTATACATGTATAACTCATAATTAAAATGCCTAAAAAACCATGACGCTCCAACATGGAAGTAAAAATTTCATTACTTTGGCCCAAATGTTTTAAATATCTAAAAAAATAAATAAACAAATATTGGGAACACTAAAATGATCATAAAATCAAATGTATTTATGGAGAATCACATGATAATCACTTAGGGTATGCATGACAATCATTCTGTTCTCTGACACTGTTTTTGAAAAGAAATAATTCTTTTCTATTTCTGTGCCTTGGAAAAGTTTTTGAGAAAAAATATGTGTCTGATAACATATTCTATTTTTATTCTGAGAATGAGAATTGTGCTTGATAACATAACAAATAATATAATAAAATATAATTCCTGTTAAGCATAAATTTTTTTCATATTACACTTTATTTTCCATATGGTGTGGTGGTGGCGACGGCAGTGGCGGCAGTGGGGCGACGGTGGTAGTGGTGGTGGTGGCGGCAGCGATGATGACGGCGACGGCGGTGGAGACAGCAGTGGCTGCGACGATAGTGGGGGTAGTTGGTGGCGGTGGTAATGGTGGTGACCACAGTGGCTGCGACGATGGAGGCGGTTGTTGGTGGCGTGGCGGTGGCATGGTGGTAGTGGTGACGACAGTGGCTACGACGATAGTGGTGTCGACGGCGACAGTGGTGGTAATGACATGGTGGTGCTGGAGACAGAAATGAATGCGACAACGATGGTGGTAGATGGTGGCAGTGGTAATGGTGTGGTGGTGAAGGCAGTGGCTGCGATGATGGTGGTAGTGGTGGTGGCGGTGGCTGCGACGACGGTGGTGGTAGTTGGTGGCGGTGGTGGGGGTGGCGGAAGTGACTACGACGATGGTGGTGGTGGCATGGTGGTGATGGTGATTGATGTGCCTTCAGCACATGGGTAAATTCAAGCCAAAAAGAGAAAGATTATGGGTTAATTCTCAGTAAAAAGGCAACGTTTAGTGTTGCTTTGCTTAAATTCCAATTTCAGAATTGTTCAACTGATTTTATGCTTAACTTGTAGGAAAAGCAAACAAATCTGGAGCAAAATGAGGATTTGCCAAAGTAAAGACCCACGCTCACAGCGTGGATGTCACGCTGGTAGCGTGAAGAACCAGAGGCTTCCACGCCCACAGCGTGGATTCCACGCTGATAGCGTGAAAACTTATCCTTCTTCCCACGCCCACAGCGTGGATAGCAAGCTGACAGCGTGGGAGTTCAGAGGCAACCACGCCCACAGCGTGGATCTGACGCTGAGAGCGTTAGCGTGCGATACTGCAACTCTGTTTTGTCCAAAAGGGTAAATTTGGAAGACCTAAAAGAGTATTATAAAAAGGAGGCTCAACACAGAATTAGGTATCTAGTCCGAAGGAGACCGTCGTGCTGAAGGAGAAGAGCTTCGGAGAAGGATTCTTGATCATCTTTCATTCTTTCATCCCATTGAATATTGAATATTGATTTATTAGCCATGAATATGGTTGGCTAAGTTTTTCTTTATTGTAGTTAGGGTCACAACCCTTATGTGAACCCTTGTTACGAATGATTGGTTTATTTTCTCCCGTTTATATAAATTTCTTTATCATTACTCTGTGCGTAATTCCTATTTTCTTTATTAGAATTGATCATTCTAATAGTTGATAATAGTCTGAGGGTTAGAACCCTAGATAGGAATATTGGGGTTCTCATCTTGAAAGGGGGTAAAATAACGATTAGTATGCATGCTAGGAATATATGTATGTTAATTGCGAATGTTTTAATTATCATATTCATTGCTTAATTCTCATGAGGGGTTACTAAGGTATTAGGATTCCAACTGAGGTTAAAAGGGTTAAATTACCAAGGAATTGAAATTTAACTAATTATTTTAGATGATATTTATCTGAGTTTTTATATAAATAAGTGTTTTTAAATCAATCCAAAGTAATAAGCGGGGATCATATGGTGAGTGTTTCCTAGCTACAAGACTCTTCTCATATTTACAAATCTCTTCTTATTGTTGTTTACAATCTCATTCTTCATCACAGAAAAATCACAAAAACAAGTCTTTATTTTTAGTCCTCCTATTCACACCAATTGACAATATTTGTCAAAACCATTTGAACTCATCCATTCCTTAAAGGAATATTAATTAATATAAGATCACAATCTCTGTGGAGACGAACATTATTTACCACTTTATTACTTATGCGATCGGTATACTTGCCGGGAAGCATCAGTGACGACAGTGGCTGTGGTACTAGTGGTGGCAGCGACAGTGGTGGTAATGACATGGTGGTGGTGGAGGTGGCGGTGGTGGGGGTGGCGGTGGTGACGGTAGTGGCTAAGACGATGGTTGTGGTGGTTGGTGGCGGTGGTGATGGTGACGGCAGTGGCTGCAGCAATAGTGGCGGTGGCAGTGGCATTTGTGGTGGCGATGATAGTGGTGGTGGCGGCGCGCTGGTAATGACATGGCGGTGGTGGGGTAGTTGGTGGCGATGGCAGTGGCTGCGACGACGGTGGTGGTAGTTGGTGGCGATGGTGGTGACGGCAGTGACTGCGACGATGGTGGTGGTGGCGGCGGCGGCGGTGGCCTTGTGGTGATGGTGACGGCAATGGCTGCAGCAATAGTAGTGGTGATGGCGTGGTAATGGTGGTTGTGGTGATATGGTGGTGGTGATGTGGCGATGGGTGGATGTGGTGGTGATGGTGGCGATGGAATCGTGGTGGTGGTGACAACGACATTGGTGGTACAACGACAACGGCGACAATGGTAGTGGTGGTCGTGTCGAGATAATTGTGTGGTGAAGAGTAATTGAGATAGACAAGTGTTTCTCATTTTGTGTCAGGGAACAAAAAAACAGACATTTTTTTATTTTTTTTTCTGTTCCCCAGCACAAAAATTAAATCGGTTCATCCCGGGAATAAAAAAATAAACTGATTTTACCAAACAAGTTTCCTGTCCATTTTTGTTCCCGGGAACAAAATTTAAAAAATAATTGATTCTGGGAAGGTTGTCATGCATACCCTTATTTACCCGGTCACTCCCTTTTCTTCCATCTTCCATCCAAATATACATTAAGTAGCCTCACTTGAAACCACATGCACATGCATACCCAGTAAGGGCCCAAACTGAACAAAGTCACAAACCAATCCATGCAGTGATTTTTTCAACCTTTCACTTTCAATCCAACCAAACATATTGGATTTTTAGCATCCAAATCCTCACAGCTAAACCTTTGCAATGATCACAGCCCAAGCTAATAACCAAATCAAACTATCAGCAAAAATGACCAAAATGATAAGTGGTAATAAAAATGTACATGCACACCACTTTTGAACATTATTATACATAATTACAAAGATCATTCATTGAATGTTCATTTTTATTTCTCATACTAAACAATTTACAAGCTGCAAATCCCCAAAAATTATTCATTGGTTGGATCAGACCACCTCCTCTTTACCTCAGATTTCGATCTCACCTCTTTAAGTTTTCCATCCAACCCATAATCTCTCTCCATCACAAGGTTGATTCCTTCATCAGAGTACCAACCAGCTCCAATACAAAGAATGCCATCCTTATTAATGTCAACAAAGCATGTTACACCCCCAGGAAGCCATAATATGGTCACATCCTGCATGTCAAGCTTCTCCTCCTCACCAAAGTAGTTGGTACTCTCAGGGAGGTTCCTCTTCTTTAGAGTTTCTGCACAAAGGTAGACATATGGGGTGCCACCACTTTCTTCCACCTGGTTTTCCTCGCCATACACTGGAGTTGCACTGACCTCAAACACTTTCCATGACCCTGTCAGCTCTGATGGTTTCGTTCGTTTTCTTTGAGAAAATGGTTTTAAATCAAACTCAAGATCACTGTTTTGAATGCAACACACATTAGTTTCTTGAACTCAAGGGAGAAATGATGAAGAAAAGCCAGTGTAGAGAAACTATAAGAACATGCACACAACAGATCATGTCATATCACATTTGATATCATTTTAACTAGTTTTTATATCCATTTTGTTTCTTGGGGAATGCGGCAAGCCTAGAGTAGTGAAAAAGCTATTCCTTTGTGACTGAAAAATCACGGGTTCAAATTTGGGAAACAAACTCTTTACATATATACAAGGGTAAGGCTGCAACAAAGATTTCCCTGACTCCACCTTCGCGAGTCGAGGTTTAATGGGGAGTGTCACTTTCCCCTGCTGCATGCTATTTTGAGTTTTACAGAATTGGCTTATAGACCTTTTCATACCACATTTAGATCACTTAAAAAAATATAACAAACTTTAGTACAAAATGTAAATAAAGTATAAGTACCTCTGGACATCTACACAAGCAGGACTGACCCATTCTTCTTCATACACAGCAACTCTCATTATCTGAATGTCTGAACCACCATTAATGAATTCTATGGTATGGACGATACGGATCCTTTTGTGGCAGCCTTTAACCAAACACTGAAAAAGGATAATTTGTAAAACAAAAAGAAATTATAACTCTTAATGGTGAAATATTAATTGAACATATATCATATCTCGTGTTCATAAAAGCGAAACTTGAAAAGGAATTCGGATTTTAAGAGTTTGGTTTTAATACCAACATGAACCATATATTATCTAACATAGCCATATGGTTTATAACACAGTGGGAAGGGGAGAACCTCTAAAAATAATAAATGCATGATCTGTGTTAATACTAAATGAAACGAAATGAGGGAATGAGCTATCAATATGATATTCTGCAAGTAGTGTGCCAAACTTACTTGTTCGAACTTGAAAGTTGGTGTGATATAGTACTCTGTATCATCATATTCACCCACTGGAATATCCATAGGACCCCTAGAATAAGACCCGTCCTGCAATTTAGTAATCATAATTATTTATGGAATACAAAGGGGAGAACCAAAACGAACTATCCATAGTCTATTAAATATGTATATGCTGGTCATGTCGATACTAAACATCATTAGGCATATTATATGATCACTTTCATTAAAATTTAAGGACATGCTCTCAATACTGCATGACTTCAACAAGAGTAAAAGTTAAAACTACTAAATACAGTATGTGTCAAAATACATGCTGTAGATGTTAGCAAGACCAAAACAATTATTGGTCATTTAATATCTGAGAATTTCATTAGAAAGTCTAATGCAACAATACAATATTGTCTATAGCAGTTACTAAGAATTCTCGGACAACTTTTTCAGTTAGAAAACCAACTCCTGTAAAACAGCCAGTGATGCACTTTAATCAAGACGAAAGGTAAAAGACAAGGTGGTCAATGATGAAAGAGCCCAGTGAGAAGTCATCCAGCTTAACACAATCTGTTCTCTTCACAATATTCTAGCATTTTTTCTGATAGATCACTAACCATGCTAACTGAGAAGTCATCCAGCTAGTATGGGGCAACCCTGTAACTTCTTCACACCATATTTGGCATTACCCCACTAGATTTGTTGCCATAATCATCCTGACCTAGTCTGTCAGTACTTCTGCTATTTTTCTCAGCCGTACATGATACATGTTTTTTAGAACTTCAATACACCTTTTTTCTGATAGGGAGGTTCAACTTTGAGTTTGATCACAAGCTGAAGTGTGTGGCTCCCCCTCCCCCCTTTTTTTTGGAGTCTTCAAAGGGTCCTTATCTGTTGTCAATTGCCTCATTTCATTATTTTCCATGTAAGGGGAACCATCCAAGTGAGAGTAAATTGTTCCTATCTTTCTTCCTTATGTTATTTGTTTTACAAGTTATTCTTCCAATACCTTTTCCTGCAAGGAGAACCGTTTTACATTTATTGTTCCAAGAGCTGAATTTTTTTTACATTTCATTCAGGTTATTTTGTATGTTTTAGAAAGCTAACAGCTCATGGTACACAGGCTCCAGCTTTAGAGGAACTATATAGTAAAAGTATAAAAAAAGGTGCAAGCATCTGTTAGACACCCACTTATCTCTAGGTATGTGTTAAGAAGAAATGGAATGACAGCAGAGAATTAGGGGACGGAGGCTCTTGCGGGAAATGGGGGAAAGGAGTGAGATAAGCATGACGTGGGTTCACACTGTGACATTGAGTTAAAAGGAACATGATAAAAGGGAAGGGCTGGACAGGATAGGGAGAAACACTAAGCAAGAATTAAGTAAGGATTAGGAAGGGGAGTACGCAAACCCTTCGAAGTTCTGCAGCATCTCTATTTTCTGGTTTTGTGAGTGTTTTACATCAGTCTACAAGTCTTGCTGTGATTCTGATATCACCTTAATATCAGTAGAAGGGAAGAGATTCCAGTGAGTATTTAACAATGCTCTGCTTTCTAGGTTCCTATCAGCATTGAAGTTGACAAACCTACCATCGAAGAATTGTCTTCTGTAATTTTCTCTAAAGGTTTTGAATCTTTTCTCTTAATAAGTTTAGGGCTACAAAGTTTAATTTGGATTCAAAGGACTAACTGTGCTTTAATAGCATGATTTTACAAGAGTCAAACAGCAAAGAGTGAGTGACTTACTAAAAGGGATCAGAATACACTTTGTGAAAGCTAATACAAAATCTAACTTTTTCTACAAGCTTTACGCTATGATATTTTGTTGGCTACGTGATTCCTTTTACTAGGCAATTCTTCAATAGGAAAATGTTCAGTGAGAAAATTTTGCAGAAGAAAGGAAGCATTTAACACTTCATCCCCAAAGTAGCCCAACAAATGCTGAGGCACTGCTTCCTCTATCTTTTTACTCTACTGGGAGGAGACATCACAAATCCCAATTGACACAAATAACTCTCAAATAATTCTAGCTTTAGACTTTTAGTCATAATCAGAAGAATATAAAATTTCTTACACACTACCTCATGTCAGAAGGATAATGACCTAACCCCAGATCAGATTGGCAAGTGAAATAAAGGGGATAATCCTCTCAGAGTAGCCTGAGGTCGCAAAATCAATAGAGAACTTGGCTTTTACAAATAAGCATCTTCCTATTTACAACTAGGATACAGTTTGAAAGTTACAGATGTGAATATTTTGCAAAAACTTAACAGCATACATAACTAAATTGAACTATCCAAAACTTTATTTTTAACAACCCTGAGCGAGTCCAGTGCAGCAACTGACAAAAATATGGAGCATAGTAGTTTAGTGATACAGATACTCTTCCTCGATCCCAACATCAATCAATAAGGATGGTATGGCAGAAAACAAAAAAGAACAAACACAAGAAGTAGGTAAAAGTCTCACCACAACTATGTAAGAAGGAACAACCCAAAAGACTAAATATGTTTCAACAACAGAAAAGGTTGTTCTACTTATTACTATGCAAAATTTCAGAGAGGTTTAACTTCACTGAACCAGGAAACGGGTCATCCTTTTATTTTAAGTAATGATGAGAAAATAGTGTTCCATTCTGCAAGGAAAACTACAACATAATACTTTAAAAAAATTTATAGCATATACTTGTTGTAAATAACTCAGCTTCCATAAAAGAAATTATACTAGTATGAATGGAATCTTACTTCAAAGTAAACAAGGCCTGGTTCACAGCCCATGACATCTTCTTCCATCACATCACTTCTTTCAAAGTCAAAGGATTCAAATGTAGGCAAAACATGATTTGTTACATTTTCCCTGAATTTTTGCTGTCGGAATGTAGGAGCATTACCATCATTGGATCCTTCTTTTGCTATGTTGTTTCCTTCAACATATTGGGGTATTTCACCATAAGGATTCAAAGTCACCCAATTAACCTTTCTCAGGATTTGAGATGTACGTTCTCCTGAAGGTGATGGTACTGCCTCGATACGGGAAAGAGTATAGCAGTCATATAGGTTTTCGTTCTTGTTACCTATTTCCATTGGCTCCATTTCAGCTGTGATGGGAGAAAACACAGCACCTACACCCTGCCAAATTCCACTGAGACTGCTAGCAAATGTGTTCCAAGATGGTTTTATTACTGGTTCCTGAAGCAGTGTCCGCTGTCAGTATGGTGTTCATTGCAATTTGAACTAGTAATCATTTCTACAGTTTAGCACAGATATCAATAACATATACATAATATTACACATAAAACAAGTAGAAAGAAAACAACAATATGAAGGGACAGAGTTGATTTCTACCAAATGTCCAGCTGAATTTTGGGAATTCCATACTTGAATTTTATCCACAAAACAATAGCTGGAATTTATTCCCTTTTATTTCCGATAGTTTCTTCCAGCTACATAGTTTTAAAAATGGAAGAAATTAGCCGAGTTTTATATGCATTCCTTACTTTTCAAACTTAAATTTTCAAAACTGCTGCAAAATCAAGCCCCAAAGTACATGGTACACACACTCTCCTTCCAGATCTTCAAATAAAATTTGAATGTACTTGAGTTTTGAACAAAAGTTTGAAATTTCACCCATTTATACAAAGCTCAGGTCCTAAAACAATAAAATCAACTTATTTCCTCAGTTCAGCTCATATTATCTGCAACCAAAACAAAAAAACTAGAGCCAAATTTAAAAAAAGAAAGAAAGAAATAGTTAAAAAATAAAGCCTTAAAGTATCAAGAGAAATTTTAATCATTATTAGTACCTATTGACACTTACATCTTAACAATGTGAACTCAGGCTTTAAAGTTTCATTTTCCTTTTCATGGTTTAATCTACATAAGATGTTATCAGTCTAGAATCTAATGAAGACAACAGCACTTCTCACTTTTCTATATCATGTATTTCACATTCTATTTACCTATCCAGAACCAAAATCAAGTCAAGAACAACATCTTCATGTTTTAAAATTTCAAGCATCATATAGGCTCAAGAGCTATTTTATTTCTTTTTACTATGCACATATAGAGGGCGAGTCTTGGAGTAATACTAAGGTTGCTCCTTTGTGACCTTCCGGTCACAGGTTCGAGTCTAAGAAACAACCTCTTTGCAAAAATACAAGAGTAAGGCTGCATACTATCGACCCTCACCCCTACCTTCGCAAAGTCGGGGAGCCTTGTGCACTATGGTTTGTTTTTACTATACACATACAGATTGAAATCCAAGCAAATATTTTTGACAAGTTATCAACAAAACTAACCACTTATAACATCATTGTCAAATCAATGATATTTGAAATGTTATCAAAATACAAGAGTTCACAAAAGATTTATGACTTCTAAATTGCGAGGGTGATAGCAAGGGTAACCACTAATCAACCCCCTAACACTGATGGTCTTTTATACTTGGCTTCTGCTACTATTCAACCACATGATAATCATGTTTTGTAGGGATTTCCCAAACTAATAGTGTAAGATGTCACACACAGAACAATACTATGTATGATAAAAGCAGAGAAAATACTGAAAGGGTGGAGTGTCAGGACTGGGAAAGATGAAATGGAAAGCAACAGAAAACTGTTCTGCCCAATTGGTATAGTTCATGTTCTCCTATTCCTCTTTACAGAAGCACCCTTGATCTTTAATACAATGCATCACATAAATTTATACTATTGATTCGCTTGAAAAAATTTACTTCTGTTTTGCACTATATGCTTCAGGCCATCATCCATCAAAATGACCCAAGAAGGACCTAGGCCTTGTTGCTTTCCTTTACTTACACAAGCGGAATTATTTGATTCTCTGGTCTCGGCCACGAATCATTCACTACATTTATTTTAATCCTACTTCATCAATTTCTACGTCCTCAACTAACTACTTCATACAATGTTGCCATCTTTGATCAAAGTAAGAGCAAATATACAAATACAAAGGGAGAGTAGAGAAAACAATCCATACAATACAACATGGAAACGAATGACCAATAAATATCCACAAGCACAACATCCACTACTTTAAACTATTAGACTCATTTAGAAGGCATAGGCATATTATACCAAGCATAGTTCCTGTTTCTATATTGACAAAAAAATACTATCTACTTATTTCTTTTCTTTAAATTCTTTTATTCTCGACACATTCAAACACAATTACAGAAAAAGGTTCCATTGTCATCCATAAAATCACTCAACCACAACCACCCATATTAGTTATGTTTCACAGACAGAGCAAAAGATAACATCTTTGCATCAAAATTGCAATTTTAAGGAGACCCAATTGAGGGGAAAATGGTACCTGAGTCTGAAGAACAGTTTCAACCTCAACCAACATAGCCCCAGAGACAATGACTCTTCCACCCTTGGGCCTCTTCCTCTTCACCATTCTTCTCCCTCTCTGCTTCCTCCCTCTCCCCTTCTCTTTCTCAGCAGCAACCTTGGCTACCTTGTTGTCAATACTCCACACATTCTCCTTGTTTCCCTTAACCCTCAGACCCTCTTTGGGACCACTCTTGTTTTGATTGGGTTTCTGAGTCTGGGATATGACCCTTGTAGAACATGGTTTGTGGAGGGTAGAGGAGCAGGAAAGAGAGGGAAAGGAATTATGGGTAGAAGAGAGAGAGTGGTGGAATCCAAGGTGGTGATGTGTCGTGAAGGTTTTGGTGAGGTAGAAAGATGAGGAGTGCATGCTTATGAACTTGGATGGAACACAGAACAGTTTAGAGCTTTGGCAACTGCACCTAACCTAGTACCAGCAATAAGAAGAGAAAAGAAAATTGAAATCAACTTTTTTTTTTTTAATAATTTGGGAAGAGTATTACTAAAGAATATATAGAGACAAGATATTCTTACAACAGAAGTTTTACACTCACATTATTAAAAAATTAAAGCCCTTAAATATAAGTGTGATAAATGATCAAGATTAAGAGTGTAACTTATACTGGTGTAAAATGATCCTAACCCACACACACATATATATATATATATATATATATATATATATATATATATGAAAAAATATTTCTACAACCACTTTAGATAAAGTTATCTACAGCTAGCCCAAAATCTACGTCGTTTTGATTAATGAAGGGTGTTTATGTAATTTTAGGTGAATTAATGAAGGGTGTTTTCGTAATTTTATTTATTTTTTTATCACATACATTTTACTAAAACACCCTTAATTAATTTATCTAAAATTACATAAACACCCTTAATTAGTTTTTGGGATAGCTGTAGATAACCTTATCTAAAATGGCTGTAGAAATGTTTACTATATATATATATATATATATATATATATATATATATATATATATATAGGGCAAGATATTCTTACACCGGTATAAGAGTTAGAAGTCTTACACTCAATCTTGATCATTGACCTTGTAGATAATGGTTGTGTAATTAATTAAATGGAAAACACCTAATGTCAACCTAAATCGCACCAGGATGCATGGGGGAGTTTGGATTTTTGATGTTGTTAACAAATTGGTGTATTCAACTTAAGTCAGAAAATTAAGCTAGTTAAGAATTCTAAAATCGGTTAAACTACAAGAGTTAAGGAGCATTGATATTAATTGTAAATTATAGGAATCAGAGTTTGAAATTCTATTTTTGGCTTTGCTTGCTTAGGTGCACGTAACCCTTATTGTGTGGGCTGAATTTTTGGTGCTGATTGACTATTACTTGGATACGCAGGTAAGTGTTTGGTGGTATTACCTAATGTGACTATTAGCTAGCGTATAGAATTGTGAATTGTTGCTCACATGTGCCTTGGATTAATGTGATGTTATATGCTACATGTATGCTGCCTATGAATGTGACCAGATGGAAAATCATGAATGAGAAGTAATTGTTATGTTGCAGCTTGGTACGGAAAGTACATGAAAGATATGCTATTATGATGATGATCTAGTCATGCATATACACCTCATAATTCATTTGTTTCTTGTTTGTGTGTGAAGCATATCATGGCATATGATGATGAAGCATACAATTGAGCACGCATCATATAGGCATCCCTTCGGTACCAGGGTATAGGACACTTGGCTTCCGTCCGCATAGGTCCACAGTTGGAATTCACCAAAGTTGGAGCCATTATGGAATATCCACTGTGATGGTGCACGCACGACGGTGCTATGAGCGCAATAATGGCGTTATATATGCACTAAGATGACTATGATGAATATACATGACCATGGCGTTATCTACGCAATAAGATGATGAGGACCTGATTATATGGAGTTTTACTGTAATTGCTGCTGTTTGAACTTGCTGTTGTTACTGTTTTACTTGATGGATGACTGTACTATTTTGAGAAGTTTGGATTACTGTTGCCACTATGATTTTACTGTTGTTTTGATACTTTTATGATCAGTTAGTGCTTTGAGTAAAATTTTGAAAACGTTTTGCGAAAACTATTTCTTAAGGTTTTGAATGCAGTTTTATAAACCGTTTTGCGAGCACTTTGCAAGTTATATTTAGTGGGGCTACAGACCTCCGAATGAGGTATAATTCATATGTACGTAAAGCCCCAGTTATGTACTTTCAGATTATATAAAGATTATGTTCAACTCTTGTAATTCCGAATTATTATATTTTTACAAGTCAGGAGGTTTTGGAAAAATACAACGAATTTTTGAGTACTTTACGAGTTCTGTTTCGTGGGGCTATTCACCTCCGATTCGCGTATAATTTATCTGTACGCGAAGCCCCAGATGTCTAGTTTCTATATTACAAAGAATATTTTTGTGGATCGTTGAACTAGATTTTATACGAATTTTTCAAGACGGCAACGTCTGCCAGGAAAATTAATACTTTCAGCAAGTCAAGAAATTTTGAAAGTGCACTTTGATTCTTGTAAGTGACTCGATTTCAATTACAAGTTTTAATCAGCAACCTCAAAATGATTTTTCCAGTAACAAAGTAATGACGTCAAAAACTCTAATTCCGCTTAGCAAACAACTCTCTTGGATGCATACAAGGGAGGGTGTTACACTAATTGGTATCAGAGCAGTTTTGATTCAAGGTGCTTGTATTGATGAAATGCTTGCTGTTTGTGCCTGGTTGTTGGATGGTTGCTGTTTGAATTTATTGGCTGTTGGTATATTTTCGCTGAATTATTGCTGATTGGATATAACTGTGAATTGGTTGCTTTGCTGTATGATAGAATTACACTGTTCAACTGCTGATGGTTGAATATAATTATTGAATTGTTTGCTAGCTGTTTTTGCATTATTCTTTGTGTTAATGGTACTTGTGATGTCCGGTGTTAAACATGGTTAGGCACACTTCAACGCTAAGTGGTGAGCGTGACCAACTCACTGCCACGCATGATGGGTGTGCACAATCATGGTGACCACGGGTACACTTGTGCTTGAAATGCTATGTGTGAAATATTAAAGTGCTAGTCACATTAGGAGTTGATTATAAACTTGATTTCTATGGATTGTAAGGAAGGTTTTATTTATATATAATTGATGGGAATATTCTTGTGATGATCTAGGTCGTAAATGATAATATGTCATCTTTAAATATTAATTGAGGATACACAGTTGTTTTATTTTGATTCATGACATGTTGTGATTGCATTACGTTGCGGGATAATAGAAACAATTGGTCTTTTCACTAATTCCGTCAGATTCCATAACTGAGTAGTGTGGTAGTGATATAACTCTGATAATAGATGTAGATAACTAGCATTAAGAAGACTCGTTCTTTGACCTTAAAACTGTACAGAGGCAGATTTACGTAGGGACCGATCACTTAATTAAAAAGGTCCAGTAATACCCTTAGAAAGTAGGATTGGAATTAATTGAGGCTCCAATATGTGGGCCCTAAGCCCTTACAAATCTTCTAATGGTGAATTGGCACTAGACATCATTCTTGAGAAAGAAGCTGTTAAACAAAGTGGTGATGTGTGGAGAAAGAAGTTGTCAAACAATATGTGGGCCAGGCCAAATTGAAATTTTTTGATGTAGGCTTGGGCTTTTCGGGGCAAAGCTTGGCCCAGCCCAGCCCACTTTCACCCCTACCCAAGAGTACACTGTTCTCCCCATTTTCAGGCGAATAGAGTTGTACAGTCAAAGTATAACTCTAGGACATAGTATTCGATGACATCCTTAAGTCTAGGACGATCCGCACTACCAAACATTCACAGACTTTACAAATCCAATGATACTCTCCATAATGAGTCATTGTGGAGTCTCTAGGGGGTCAGTTCGGTGTTATCTGTTCTCCAACAGATCCACCCACGACATCAGCTAAGGCATCACCATGCCTGTATTCCATGAGGTCCCTACCTTGTATCTCCATACAAGTAGATGATGTCGTACTAGTCTTATTGAGATCACCAATACCTTTTCTTGGTGATTCAAGACCATGAACAGATTTTAGGTAATAGACATTCAGTGTCCTCGAGTCCTCATGATCATGATCCCTATCATAGATCCTCGAGTGTACACATGTTCTATTCCTAGGGTCTTTATCTTTAAACGTATATTTACAATGAAATATTGGCGAGACATAAATATGATAAAGATAAAATTTGCTCAAATTTATTAATCATAAAATACTAAATAGAAAAAGGTGTTCATCTGATAAAATAGATTGTCTCTAGGACACCTATATACTAACACTCGGCACCAATACTTCGCTTCCTACCGAGCTGGGGGGCTTCTGTTTTGGTTAAGCTCAATCGGTTAGCCCAACAAGGCAGACCCAGACCCAAAGGATCAACCCACGTTGGCTCTACTGGCCATTGCATGCCAACACTGCTATCATTATCCCCATGCAATAGATTCCCCTACATAAGACACCAGAATATCCTACGTTGGGACGCGATCATCCTTTTGTAGCCTTCCAGGCCCCCAAAATGGATACCCATTTCCACAGCTACTACCTCAGCAACTATTACCAGCATAACAGAGGCTGCAAAGTGCTTTGCCATAGCCAGGCATGGTACTTTTGGCTCTTCCCAAGGAGAATTGACCTATCTCACCCTCCCATATAGGCAAGGTATTATCTCCTCCTATAAATACCCTCATCTCACCCAGTAGGGGGATACACAAGATATAGGCCATTACTTTGCTACATCTAAGAGCCATAGTAGCCCTACACACCCCTCTCTTATCATTTTGCGCTTTAGTAGGGATTTCATCATTTAGCTTGGTCTGTACCTTTGCTAATGTTGATACCCCTAAAGTGACCACTCCATCCTATCAGGGTTACATATTGGGTTCGCTGCCTCGCTAACGATACACTAACTAATATAGAAGAGTTGATAGGGTCACTTATGACATATTAAATGCAACTTTTCTCACACAAATATGATGCTGCGAACAAATAAAAAAATATCGCACTGAGGGCCGAAATTAAAGAAGATGTATTGTGACATCGGAGATGAGGACTACTTTGTCATGGTAGTGCGTTAAGACACAATGAAGAAGGGAAGATGCATCAATAGTGGGAACCATTTGAGCACATCCAAAGAGTGACTATGAATCTGAAATGAAACGAAAGAAGAGGTAAGTCCACTTGACCTAATTTCTTCATTGCTTAAACTGTCAAGAAATCAGTTGATTAAGCATGCTGAAATGATGATTGATGAATATGTAAATGTATGTGATGATAGGGTTAATATGTTCGGAGAATTTGATGCATTGACCAAGGAATTAAAATGTGTAGTTAAGGTTGATAAAGAACTGGATGATAT